CTAGTGTAAGTGGAGAAGACTTTTTTTTTTATAGTACACTAACATTTAGAAGTTGAGGAGACAAAGAAGAACTAGGCAAGGAAATAAGGAGTATCCAATGAAATAGGAATAAAAACATGAGATTGCAGTATCCCAGAATCACATGAAGAAAATATTTAAAGAAAAAAGGAATCGTTATCCATGTTGCACATGGCTGATAGGCCTAGTAGAGTGATAATTGATCCTTACATTTAGCAGTGACCTGGTCACTATTAACTTGGAAGAGAGTCTTTATTGTGGAGTGGTACAGGCAAGGCTGCTTGGAATAGGCTCAAGGGAGAAGCGGGGGAGAGGAATTGAACACAATGACCATCCATAGCTCTTCTCAAGAAGTCTTGATGTAAAGGAAAATAAGTGGAAGAAATGGTAGGTCAAGGTGGCCCTTTTAAGGTTAGAGGAATTTCTGTACAGTTATGGGAACGATCTAACAGGGAGACAATGATTGATGCTGAAGGAGAGAGAGGGAAATTTCTAGAACAATGTCCTTCAGGAGTCAAGATAAGATGGAATGAGACTCAATGCACACAACTGGCCTTTAATAGGTGCACAGACTATTTATCCATAGCATATCAGTGAATGCAAGGCAGGGTATATGAGTGTACATACAGGTGGTGGGAGCATGTGAAGGACACTTTCTTCTGATTTCTTCTAATTTCTCAGTGAAATAGGAAGTAACATCATCAGGAGATCCAACAAGGTATGGAGCTTGAGGACAGAAGATAAGATGTAAATATAAAAGTCCTGTAATTGAAACACCATTTCCCATTTATTTATGCTAATATATCTATTTTCCAGAGCTGAGGATCCCCAGAACTGGGATTGCGGAGTGGGAAAATCAGAGATGTCAGAAAAAAAGCCTGGGCAGCTAGAATGGCATCAGGTAGAAGAATTAAAAATGCCCTTGAGAGAGGGATACCTCACTGAATTAATAATCAGTTGCTCTCAGACCAGGAGACTAATGGAGGCTACCAGCTAAGTCTAGGGTCTTTACATCTAATGCAATGGAAATGGCAGTTTAGGGGTTTGAGACTCTCTCCAGAGCCTGGAAAGTCCTCTTTAGCTCCTGACTCTGACCCCACTTTCACGTACAACTGTGCATTGTATGTGGAGCAGTAGGGCAGCTTTGATACTGCTGGGCATCCCCTCTTTTCAGGGCAGCCTCTCTACACTGATCTTTAAACACTGTCTACTGCTCTCCCATTTGCTTTGAAAGACTCTCTTCCCTTCCCTTCCCTTCCATGACGTCCCACTTTTCTGCTTTTCCTCTTTCATTTCCAGGTTCTACTACCTCTGCTTTTATTTGAAATGCTGGTGCTCCTCAGGTTACCATTTTAAACACTCAAGTTTTCATTTTACCTATTTCATTGGCAAATTTATCAATTCTCATAGTTTTTATAACCACCTCTTTGTTTACCATTTAATAATCTCTCATGAGCCTTTATGTTTACAGAATTTTATAATCAACATAAATGCGTTAGAAGCACCTCTAACTCTCTACCTGCCCAAAACTGAATTATTGAGCTTTCATCTCAAGCATGTGCTTTTCCTGCATTTTTATCCATTTTTTGTAGCACAGACCATCCTTAGTTTCTTACTTTCCCTTCCTTGCCTTCAATTCAATCTGTCAGTAATTTTATTTATTTCCTTCCCATACAGATGATCACCTTCTCAGTTCTGACTAATCTTTGCTTTTTTACAGTTTTAGGCTCTTGGGTAGTCTTTTTTCCTTTTGTCTTAGTCCAAATGGCACTTTAGCCAGAGTGATCTTTCTAAAATGCATATTGTTTTCTTTCCATTTTTGCATGACATACATTTCATCACTGGTCCCTTGCTTAATTATCCAGCCTTACCTCTTCTCTCATCTGTATGCCTCTAACCCTGGGTTCCAGACTATTTTAATCTACCAAGTATGACATGCTGCCTTTCCTTTCCAGTTCTTCATATACTTTCTCCCCTTTGTATAGAATATCTTTATTTTCCTACACAGAGTTTTGGTGAGCTAATCACTAACAGGCTTTCAGGGCTCAGTTTGGATAGTATTTCATCTGAAAATCATTTTCTGATGTCCCTAGGCTGAATGAGAGGATTCTGTGGCTGTGGATGAGAGTCCATAGGTTCCTGAATTTACCTTTCTCTCACACTAAAGTTGCACACATAGTTACCTTTCTTCTCCACTAGATCATAAGCTCCTTGAAGGCTGATGCAATACTATTTTCTCTCAGAATCCATGGGGCAATGGTTCCAAGATTCCTTTGGATACCAAGATCCGAGGATGCTCAAGGCCCTTGTATAAAATGGATTAGTATTTACATATAACTCACACACATCCTCCTGAATACTTTAAATCATCTCTAGATTATTTACAATACCTAGTTCAATGTAAGTACTATATGAATAGTTGTTGGTGTGCAGCAAATTCAAGTTTTGCTTTTTGGAACTTACTGGAAATTATTTTCCCTGAATATTTTTGATTTGTGGTTGGTTGAATCTGTGGATGCAGAATCTGCAGATATGAGGGGACAACTATATTTGTTCATCCTTGTATCCCTCACACTTATCCCCTACTGAGTTCTCATTACACGCTTTTTGAATACATGAATGAATGAATAAACTGTTAAATTTCTAGTAGCAGATTTGGAGTCACTTTAATTGATGAAAAAGTAATTTCTACAGCAACAGATGCAACTGATTACATAACAAATGAAATCCTGTTGTGAAACACAACAACCAAATCCTAATTTGGTTCATCTCTAATTACATGGAGTGTCATAAGCCAATTATTGTACCACTTGGACAGTATGCATTTTGTATATATATATATATATATATGTTTTACAAGCATTATCCTGGTTTTTTTGAACTTCACTGTGGCCTTTCTAGTTTTCCATTGATTATCCTTATCTAGCTTTAAGAACTATAAGCCACATTCTCATACTCCATTTTAATTTTAAACACTAGCATGGGACAGTTCTTTATTTCTTTTGTATATGAGCAAGGTAGGCAGCTAAAACAAAAGCAAAAGACTACACAGAGAAATGAGTAGTTTCAGAGACTACAACTCCAAAATACTTTAAAGAAACTCATTCTCTTTTCATTACCTTACACCTCTAGGTGCCAAAACTTGCATTTAATTTCAGGTTTTAAAGGAGATTTTATGTCTACCCATAATCTATTCTCATATAGTTTGCCCAGGAGAGCCTAGCTATTTTCAGTTAAAATTGATCCATCTTTACCAGACTTGTGGTTGAACACAAAGACTAAAGGACATGAATCTCTTAACAGCTCCTGATGGGATTGGACTACACATATCATGCTCATTTTAAAGGTGGAGTGCATCTAAAAATATACCTTTTTGAGTTTCAGAGAAATCATATTTACAATTTCACAGAACAGAAAATGTTAAATTTGATTTGATGCTTAACACCTAAAGGGTTATTTTCAAATCACAGAAATGCTTCATGCATTCCAAAATATCTCTATGAGACAGGATAATGATTCTAAATAATCTTAATTGTGAGAAAGCTTACTCACAAATATAAATTATTTTTTATCCAAAATTAAATTAACATCCATTAAGTTGAAATGTCAAATACCCTGACCAAAAATGTCTGTCTCCTAAGGGTACTTCCAAAATCAATGAATTGTCGAATACAGCCGATATTAGACATAGAAAAAATCCAATTCTTAATTGTTTTTCAGAATTCATCATAATTAGTTTGTGTTTTTAAACGTTTGATCTATACACCAAATTGACTTCCCTGTGGTCGTAAAGGAGAGTCAGTACAATCTACTTCAGGCAATATGCATATCTTTTCTAATGAAAAATCTTGGAGATTAAAGTAAAATATGGGCAATATGTTTCTCAATAATCATCAAAGGTAGGAATTTCATAATAGTATTCCTACTTAATAATATTGTTATATAGATTATATATAACAAACTCTACAAAACAAATTCCATCTATTTTTTTTTTTTACATTCCATAATGGATTTGACTGCTTTTCAAGAACATGAGGCATAACTTACAGTCTAGTGCAAATATATATGCTTCATTAGACACATTTCCTACTATATGATAAACTTTAGGTGATGAAGATCCGATCTATATTTGTAGAATGTAATTGATAATGCTGTTTTCCTCTTTTTCTCATTTTTAAATAATAAAGAACTGATTTAATGTGTGTGAATGGATATTTTAATATTAAGACCAAATATTCCTGACAAAGAAAATAAAAGAAATGAAATTTGGACAGATTGCATCCTTCTTCCCTCCCTTCCTTTCTTCCTTTTTTCCTTCATTCCTCCTTTCCTTCCTTCCTTTTTCTCTTTTCCTTCCTCCTTTCCTTTTCTTTTTTTAAAAAATTAATTAATTTATTTATTTTTGGCTGCATTGGGTCTTCATTGCTGTGCATGGGCTTCCTCTACTTGCAGCGAGCAGGGGCTACTCTTCGTTGTGGTGCACGGTCTTCTCATTGCAGTGGCTTCTTTTGTTGCAAGCACGGGGTCTAGGTGTGCCGGCTCCTGTAGTTGTGGCACGTGGGCTCAGTAGTTGTGGCTCACAGGCTCTAGAGTGCAGGCTCAGCAGTTGTGGCACATGGGCTTAGTTGCTCCACGGCATGCGGGATCTTCCCGGACCAGGGCTCAAACCCGTGTACCCTGCATTGGCAGGTGGATCCTAACCATTGTGCCACCAGGGAAGTCCCTCCTTTCCTTTCTTTTCTTTCCTCCTTCATGTCTTTTTTCTCTCTTTCTTTCTTTCTTGCAAAACACCAACTTTATAACTAGTAGAGTTTTCAGAAAATGTTTTAAAATATATTTTTAATATTTTATTTTTTCCATTCCCACTGTAGTTTGCATTTCATTGCATCTCCAAGGGAGATTTTCAACAATGTCTTCAGAAGAAAAATTTTCATTAAAAAAAACCAGTTTCCTCAGAATTCACTTTTCATTATTATTATTTTACAGAATACTCTGGAACTCTTCCTAGTCTCTCTACTTCATATGCTACTTTGCTAAGAATTAAGAAGAGTTCATCTTCATCCCTCTATGGTTCAAAGACTAGACCACGATACAGCAGTCCTCCATTAGGAACACTGAGTGTTTCTTCACCGAACTGGCGAGGGGCAGCTCAACATTATTATTCCCCCATCAATCTTTATCATTCCTCAGATGCCTTCAAACAAGATGGTAAGTGTCAAAAGAAAATTGCACCGGTTGGAGTTAAGCAGGGAAAAAAGACTTTATTCAAGACTATTGCAGTAGGAGTTAAGCCTATTGTAATAGAGGAGAGAGGTTAAAATCACCTGTGAAACAGAAAGTGAGTTTTTAAGATCTGGAAAGGTGGAGGACATTAAGGAGGAGTTTGGCCAGTGTGATAAGGCCATTGGTGCTTATTGAAGTTAGCCTCTTACCATCTTATAGAGTCTGGGAAATAGGAACCCTCTCTTTTTTGATGATTACATTTCAAAAAAAAAAAATGGCTCCCAGGTCCTTGAGAAAGACATTCTTGGGTTTTAAAACTGGTAAGAGACTGGGTAAAGATTTACATTTCACAGAAGCAAAGAAGGAATTTATAACTGCAGTTCTTATAAAGTAAATGTTCTAAGAAAATGGAGGTTAGGGGACCATAGTCAGGAGGAAACCTGTCAAATGTTAAGTGAAGCTGAGGAAAATGTTAAGGCTATCTTGGTCATAAGTTAGTCTTATGTTCCACACCTATTTCAAAATTTTTTTTATGTATTTAATTACAATTGCTTCCAATTCTGATTTAGGATTAAGACTAAATAAATTCATATACTGAAAGCAAAAATATTAAATTTCTGAAGGATAATTTGACAATGAAATTCAAGAACCTCAAAACAGTCATATCCTTCAATCTCATATTTTATTTCTAGAAATGTGTTTTGCATAAGGAAATAATAAACAATGTACGCAGAGATATCAGCATATACTTAGCATTTATGAGTAGAAAATAAGAAATTATTCAAATGTCCAACACTAAGAAATCAGTTAAATTCAGGATGACTATGCAGCTATTAACATTATGGTTTGAACAACATTTTCTAAATGTTCTCTAACTTTGTCATTTTTGGATATATCAACAAAACAGTACAAGGCTAATTAACAGAGAGAAGCACTAGTGCTTGATTATTACCAGGTTCTGTGCCAGTCTCTTTTGCATAGCTTATATCAATAATACTGTCAACAAACATTTGAAGTGGATATTATTACTGTCTTCTTTGGAAACGGAAACTCAGGGGGCAGATAAGTATCTTTGACAAGGTCACACTTCTAATAAGTAAACAATTTCATTCATATATCTACTGATTTTAAGTACAATACACTTTGGGCTATATTTCAATTATGATTGATAAAAGACTAAATATTTAGAGAAACATTTTGTAAGAACTAAACTACTTGGAAAAATCCTAGAAATTTCAAATTAGGTTGTGGTACCAAACCCAGGCAAACTCATCCCTCATGATTATGCCAATTGTTGCCATGTGGAGCATCATCTCATAGTGCTGGCATTTAAATTTTATTTAAGTATGGTGTTTGTTCCTTAAAGTGTTTTATTTTTCAACGTACTTATAAATTTTTAAATTTCCATAATATATTCTGTGAAAAAAAATCAAGAGAATTAGGAGACAAGCCACAGCCTCGATGAAAATATTTGCAAAAAGGCACATCTGATAAATGACAGTTATTTAAATATACAAAGTACTTTTAAAAATCAACATAAGAACTTCAACAACATGAGTTTAAAATGACCCCAAAACCTTAACAGACATGTCATCAAAGAAGATATGCAGACGGCAAATAATTATATGAAAAGGTACACCACATCTTACGTCATCACAGCAATGAAAATTAAAACAACAATGAGATACCACTACACACTTATTAGAAGGATCCAAATCCAGAACACTGAAAACACCAAATGCTGCTGAGGATGTGAAGCAGCAGGAACTCTCATATCTTGCTGTTGGGGATACAAAATAATACAGCCTCTTTGGAAGATAGTTTGGCAGTTTCTTATAAAACTAAACATACTCTTATCATATGGGAGAGATGGATAAACAGAGTACAAATGATTTTTAGGGCAGTGAAAATACTCTGAATGATATCATAATGATGGATATATGTCCTTATACATTTGTCCAAATCTATAGAATGTACAACACCAAGAGTGAACCCTAACATAAACTATGACTATTGGTGATTATGATGTGTTAATGTAGGTTCATCTTTGGTAAAAATGTGAGTGATGTTCATTCTGTGAGTGATGAATCATTCTGGTGAGTGATGTTGATAATGGGAGAAGTATGCATGTGGGGGGAAGGGAGGTAGATGAGAAATCTCTGCCTTCTCATTTTGTTGTAAATTGCTCTAAAATATAAATTCTTTTTTAAAAATCCATTACATTAACTCTAATGTCATACTCATCAGGCAGAGATGTGTTGGAATTTGTCTTCTTTAGGCCTTATTCATTATTTTATAGGATGACACCAAGAAAGAATGTATTGACTGAGTGATCAGAACTATGGGATACTATTGTATTTGGTATAATTTGGTATCACCTCATGTTCTACTCCTTTGTTCTCTTGTTCCAAATAAGTTAATGTGGTTCGCAATGATACATAGAATACAGCTAGAAAATGTGAATTAAAACATATGAAAATGATGAAAACAGCCAATATTGAGACATAAAATGGAGCCAAGTTTGAGACTAATTCAAAGTGTCTGTATGCCTGTCATAGGTTAGTCCCATTTGTGGTAATTAGTTAAAGAAAAAGAAACTCTGATCAGTTACACATTTCCCACTCTTTCAAGGATGAAAATGAATCAGTTACTCAGTAGAAATGCAGCTATTTCTGATGCTAGATTAGACAAATTTTTCTGGCAGGTCCTCATTTACAGTTTAATATTTGATGTAATGGTCAATGACCTGAACATTATTGTTATTGTATACATAAAAATGAGTTTCATCTGCTTCAATAAAGGCAGATAAAACCCAATCATCAACAACAAAATTAGAAGTAATTATCTAAGACTGTGCTCTTCCTTTAATCTTTAACATACATACAATCCCTTGAGAGTCTTGTCAAAATATGCCCCCTTTCAACAGATCAGGAGGGGAGGGCTATATAATCTGCATTTATAAAAAGCTTCCAGGTGATGCTGCTGGTCCGTGAACCATAATTTGAGTGGCGAGGCTCTAGGCTAGGGACCAGTTTGATATAATTTAAATCCTTTGCTGCTCTAGTTTAATCCATATTTAGAGTATCAGGCAGAATGGATAGTCTGAGTATTTTCCAAGTAATCTTCCATAAGTATTGTTTTCCCATCTGAGCATTTGATAGATCTTGGCTAGATGTGACTTTGAGTTTGTTCTCTCTGACAAGAGCCTGACATACAGCTTTTGTCAGGTAATTCCCTTTAGACTTAATAGAGAGTAAAGCTGGAGTTGACATGCTCTTGTGAAAAATGAGAAAACTAACAGAGCCTGAATAGAAAGTTATCCCACTTCTGCTCAGAGTGAAGCCCCAAAGTACCCCAGATAGAGTTAAGATTTTTCTGAGAAACATAAAAGTGGTGTTTGCAGATCAATTTGGGAAAGCAATTCTACTTCTGTATGCAAAACCTGGATAAACTCTCCCACACATGCACAAGGAAGTATAAAAGTACTTCACTGCAATGTAAGTTTAATAGCAAAAAGTTGGAAACAACTCACATGTCCATCAGAAGGGGAATAGATACATAAACTGTGTTTTTCGTTCATTGAAAAATTCAGACTGTTAAAGTGAATAGACCATATCTTTATGAAAAAAAATGGATATACCTCAAAATATAGTAGTGAGCAAGGAAATTTACAGAATATTACATATGATGTCATTTATGTAAAAAATAAAAATATAATATAATATTCATGGATAACTATATATAATGCAATTTTTAATATATGAACTTGAGAGAGCAAGTGACTATAGCATTTACCTCTGAGGACAAAGGGGAAAGGAGAGCAGGTAAATGGTACCAGGATAGGGAAGACAGATTACCTCAACAGTGTGATAATTTATTTCTTAAAATATAAAATATGAAAATAATATGGTGACACCTGTAGTAGGTAGACTATAAAACAGGTCACAGTGATTCCCACCTGCTGGTATTTACAGTGTAATCCCTTTTCTTCCACTGTGGGCTGAAGCTAGTAACCTGCTTCTAGAGAATAGATTATGACAAAAGTAATGGAATATAACTATATGACTTCCAACATTAGGTTACAAAAGACTCTGGTTTTCATCTGACTTCTGTTCCAAAGGAAAATGCTTAATTTGGGCCTGAGTAAACAAAGCTTGACTGATTATAGGGACTAGATGCCTAAAAAGAGTACCAACCTGTTAAAATAATTGCAAGATAACACAGAAAAATAAAATAGATGAAACTTATAAAGAAAACCTTAAAATCATAATATTGTGAGAAGAATGCTCTGTAGCAAATATAGAAGTGTGGTGAGGATATCAACAAAATGAACAAAAGTTATATGTTTATTATCTCACAACCTTTGTGGGTCAGGAAAACAGATGTGGTTTAACTTGTCCTCTGGTTCTGTGTCTTTCACAAGATGAGACTCCTGTTTTATCTCAAGGCTCAAATAGGTACAGATCCACTTGTAAGCTCACTTACCTCACACAATTGTTCACAGGACTCGGTTGATGAGGGCGGTTGGACTGAGTGTCTCAATTATTCATCGGCTTTGGCCAGAGGTCATTCTCAGGGGGCCTCTCTATAGGGTAGCACAAAACATGGTAGCTGATTTCCAACAGCAGGAGCAAGTCAGAAGAGAAGGCAAACAAGGTGGCTACCAGAAAAGTACAACAGTGAGTCATTGAATTTTGGTTGAGGTGAGGAAGTAGAGCCAGGGAAATAAATAAAAAAATTTGAGCTGGACTCAAGAAAGGGAGAAGAGAAACGGAGAGTACCTGAAAGAGAGAATGCTGTTCATTGGAGCTGAGCAATCAGAGAAGTCATCTGATTGTCATTTTTCTTTCAACCTGATATTGTTATTTTGGATAATGACTATGATCACTTCAAATTACGCCAGTGAAATATTCCCTATACCAAGAGGTATTATGTGGTTTTAAAAAATTTAGTTGTTAATAGTTACTCTAAAGTCATTGTTTGAA